CCATTAAATTCTATAGAGTGGCAAGTTGAAAGTAACCCCCATCGCAACTGATTTTGATAGTCAATTAAGTTACTGTAAGTTTCAATACTTGAAAGTTCAGAATTCAGAACGTCTGAAAACGTATTTTTATCTACCGTGAGGTTAAGACACAGATTATAATAATCCTTGCAACAGTCCCCGTATATCCAACACACATCGTCACACTGACAAGGGTAGAGAAGATCACTTGGTTGTTTTGTCCTTTTCTCCCCGCAAGAGTTCTCACAAGTCTTAAAATAGCAGCCGGTGTTTTCATACTCGCAGTGAAATGTTTTGGTCCCATTGTTTACATTTACAACAAGCTTTTTACCATCCCCACACACGACAACATTGTTCAGTTTATCAGTGCTATTCTCGAGAAAACGACTTGAGTTAGTCACAGGAGAGTTAGATTTTGTAATTTTATCTTTAGTCAAGGATATTTCAGTAGCTTTTATAAGTGTTAAACCTGCTATTTCTGTGGATGTCAAACATAATTAAAGCGCAGGTTATTCTCAACATTCTAAGCCTCATTAAATTGTATTTAAACAATTTAAAATAAATATACATTTTTAATAATATTATGTCTCGGAAATGTGTAAAGAAATTAAGAAATAAAAGTTCACTTAACTCATAATATTACATTTTTATATATTATTTTTGTAATCATTATATTATGTCTAAAGTAGTATACAATATTAATAACCATCTAATGCACTTTGATGTAATTTTAACTACATCTAAAAAGTCATTCCACAATTAAGCTTGAAATTAAAAAAAAAACATCTAATTTATTTAGAAATGAATTAAATCTCTTACCACAGAAAAACAAAACCAATAGTTTAGACTGAGTCATTTTGGAGATAATTTTTTTTTGCGTACTCAGTATATAATCAGAACTTACCGCGTCGAGAGTTTTTATAGAGAGGTATGGTAAAAAGTAATCAAGCAATTAATTCATGTATTGTCTAGAAATATAATAAATCTAAATTACGAAATTTCAATTTATTTAATTGTTCAGATATAGTTGGCTTTGAATTTCACTTTCTACTGAAAAATTTATTAAAATCCATTAGCGTCTTATTGAAACTACAGCTTAAATCATAACAATCAAAATACAATAAACAAAATGACGAAGCGTGAAAGAAGACGGGATTTTAAATTTCACTTAATTCGTGTTTGATTCTCCGGACCAGAGTATCTAAAGAATTTCATAAAAAACGTTTTAATAACAAGCTTTTATGTACTAATGCACTAAAAAGTAGAAAATAAATTATAGACTACTATTTAAATAACTAGCGATGTTAGCCAAGATGTTAAGATGGTCTTTGAGGCATCGATGTTCGTTGTTTCTATTACTTGGTGCTCTATATTGCAACAGTCGCGGATCTAAAAAGATGAGGGGCAGAGGAGAGAAGGGATGGGGCTATGTATATATATATATATATATATATATATATATATATATATATATATATATATATATATATATATATATATATATATGGTGAGAGGACAAATGATCTCTGGACAAATGATCTCAGACAAAATATCTCAGACAAAATATCTCACGGACATATCATTTGTCCTAATATATTTTGTCCTGGTATCTTTTATCCGTGAGATCATTTGTCCTTGAGATCATTTGTCCTGAGATCATTTGTCCTGAGATCATTTGTCCTGAGATCATTTGTCATGGAACCATATCCATATATATATATACATATATATATATATATATATATATATATATATATATATATATATATATATATATATATATATATAAATAGAGAGAAAGGGAGAGAGGTAATAGACTCACATTTTCTCAATATTGCTAAATTTACTAATTATTTGAAAATACTTAATATATTTGTATGCATAGTGAAATATTTGTAATACGAGACTTTGTTGATGAGTAATTAATTGTTTTAAGTATCTCAATGTAATTTAATACTTTGTTTATGGATCGTTTTATTCACAACGTTTTTTAAGTGCACCACTAACGACTTCAGGATTTTAAATATTTCAATAAATAGTTTTGCAATCACAGAGTTAAAAGCTTTAGTGCGTTATTAATTGATTCCTATTCTTAAAATAAAACGAAGAATTTCAGTTAAAATATATAACCCATTTTCCGTGTCGAAGATGGATTAGTGCTTATCTATCTTTTAAAGTTTTACATACAGACAATTTGCCAGTATAAGTCCAGCTATCTACTTCCCCTATGGCTGGCTAATTTTAATAATATTTTACTTTTAAAATATTTTTTTCTAATATGTAATTAGAAGCTGAAGCCCATCCCTATCAAAATACGTTTGCTAGTATCTTAGGAATTTCTTTTACTAATATAGGCTATTAAAATTCATACAAACGCAATAAAAAAAAATTATAGCCATTTCAATAACCTATACTAACCCGAGACCTTAAGTAAACTATATATTTTTAAAGTGCTTGAATGAGTACTTGGTATTTGGTTGGAGATAGAATTGGCGCCGCAGCACCTCAAAAGCACCAGATATATTTTGTAAACATAATATTAATATGTTAACATTAACCTAATTGACCGCTTTAATTTACACTTAAAAGGGACTTCGTGAAAAAATGTAAACGTTTAATTCACTCCAATTTTAAAATATACACAAAAAATACACGGAAAAATCATCTGGATGAAAGAAAAAATCCCTTTATAACCTATACTAAGCGGTTTTTTAATTGCTTTGATAATGAATAAATAATAAGTATTAAGTAAAGTTTACTTCGTGGCTGAGAGTAGCAAAGCAAACACGTCTCTGGCAAACAATGACCGTCTTTAGTGGCTATTTACTTTACAATAGAGCATTGTCAAGTTTTTTTTAACACTGCTTTTAACTGATTAGCTTAAAAGGTCGTTTAGTACAAAAAGTTAATGAGAAAACACAAAAATAGAGAAATGCAACTATTTCTACTAATGGTTTTCGAAGTTAAATAGATTGGAATAATTAAAATGTATAAAAGTTTTTTTTATGCAATAAAAAAGCAATAATAATGGTAATTATATTGGATGCTAAAGACGGATGCCTTTTTTCTTTCCATTGTTTTAAGTGCACTACACTGTTATCTAGAATACAAAGCCAAAACACTACTCCTTATTTCTTTTAGTTGAAAATACTATTAGGTTATACAATTGAACACCAGTATTTAAAAAGTCGTGATTAACATTACATTTATATCTAAAAAAAATCCATACTAATACTATTTCGTATTAAATTTTGTTGTGGATTTTTTTGTAAGTGCTAGGCCTAGAGTTTGTGTGGTTTGGGGGGGGGGGGGGCAGTTAAAAAATGTCACATAATTCGGTAAGAGTTTGTTAAAGCGGGGATATAAAATTATCTTTTATCATCGTCAAAACTCTCAGATCAATTGACCCCTGTCATTAAACCCACCATCCAAGACATTGCCACGATCCATAAACAGCAGTAAAATTACCCATCAGTAATTAGACTCGCGTTTGTGTAGCTTTTTAATGTGTGGTTAACCAAACGTCAAAAAATAATAATGCAAAGTTTTTATAGCTAATGCTAAATCTTATTAAATGTCTATTCTTAAAAAACAAATGATTAAAAAATAATAAGACAAATGCAAAATGTAATGCTAACATTTTTTTAAATTTTCACACAAACGATTATTTTGAGGCTAAAATACATTTAACATTTAGACTAATAATGGTAACGAATACTTATGCTGTTCTATATACAACATTAAAAGAAAATCATTAAATCATTATCATTAATGTGTTCCACAGAATGAAATAATACATGCTGGAATAAAAAAAAATGTAAAAGCAATAAATGTTAAATAATCATTATTTTAAAACTTTCAAAAACACATTAAAAACCGTAAAATACATACTTCAGATAGATAATTAGTGTTTGGTTAAATATACACACACAAACACACACACATATATACACACACACTTATATATATATATATATATATATATATATATATATATATATATCATTAGCGTAAGCCAAGTATCGTATATAAAATTATATAAAATAATTGTATAACCATTTGCTTACCACTTTGAAAACAACCACAAGAAATCCAAAGCAGTAAAACTATATCAATACTGAACACAGGCATTATGTGATTAATGAAAATGGAAAATTTTAAATTGATATACATTTTTTAAAGTACTTATAGCCACTTACTTTGTGTCTATAACGCACCTCTTACTATTTAATTAACTTTTAGTGAATTAAATGAAGGATGATTAAGCATTTAACAATTTTTTGGAAAATTTAATGAAAGAACAATAATTTTTTCCCATATTTTCGTATGGTTTGTACAATATTGGTTGATATCAATTAGCATACTGTACAACATGTCCTAAATTTTAAAGAAACATATTTTATCATACTACGGTAGCTATTTCGAGATCCACTTTCTTATATTTCAATTGTTCAAAATAAATTATAGTTAATGGATCGACTAATGTAATATTTCTTAATGTTCTTAAAACATAATTAGCCATCCAACTAGATTTTTTTGCGTAAGTGGTTGTAATTTAATAGTACTTTGACAATTAGTAAATGACTTTAAACCGTTGTTAGTTTTAAAAGTAATTAAGATTTTAATGTTTTTCGAACTCATTAAATTTCAATTTAAATAAATCTTAAATCATTACAATTTTATAACAATAATGGGGGAATGGCTGAGGTTTTGTGAAAATGTATGTGATATTTTAGTTTTGAAACAATAAGAAAAACCACTGTGTCTGTTAATTGTTTCTAAACGAACATTAACCTATAAATTTTTCAAATCGTTGTGCTAGTTTTTTATGACAAATAATAATACTACTTCTTTTACAATTGGACATTAAGAAGTTGATTTTTAAAAAAAAGAAATTGATTAACTTTAGCTTTCTGATTTAAAAAAACGAAAAATGTAGTAGGTCTCTGTTAAAAACAAATTCACTATTCTTCCTTTAAAAGTAAATCACAAAAAATATGAGATTTCCCCACCCATTTAAATAGCTATTTGATTATATATTCAGATCAACAATTTCCAACACAATGCATTAAATGGCTGAAACTGTTTTATTTGGTGCCAATGCAGAAATAACTACTGCATATGATAAAGAAATTAGAAAAAAGTCAATTGTTTATGGTTTTTTTTATTACTGGCAAAAACAAATACATCAATAATCATAAAATGTGACAAAATATATATTTAAAAAATTCAATTTATTTAAACTTATGGTATAGGCTACATTATTTCAAACTGTTTTTGAGCATTTTAACATGTAAAGCCGATTTTTAACAAACAATTAGCTTTTTTGTGTACAATTTTAGCTAATCGCATAATACAAAATGACATGTTTCTTATTCATGTTAAAGAAACGTAAATGTATTTTTTATTGTTTGAATATTAATGATAAATATAAAGTGTAAGAAAGAAACGTTTCTATAATTTTCTAACAGAAAGATAAAAAATGTATAAAGAAAAATTATATTTTTATTTAATTTAAGTGCCATTTTGTTACGCATTTAAAGATTTCTTGTACATTAAGAAATAAACAATAAGTCATACAGTTACATTGCATACATATGAGGCGCATTATTTTGAGCAAAAACAATAAAAAGCAGTTAATGACATTGAAAATAGGCATATTCATTCACTCTTAAAAATATCCTTTCCCACGTTTAATCACACTCGTAATACTCCTTATATATATATATATATATATATATATATATATATATATATATATATATATATATATATATATATATATATACATATATATACATTTAAAATTGAAAGTATCCATAGACTTCCATTAACACGAAACTACTTAAACGATCAAGCAACAAATTTCCACATTTTTACTCTTCTAACTGTTCAGGTTGGTTTCAACGTATTCTGTTATGATGTTCATCTGATCGTCCTCTTCCTTCTGATTTTTCCGGCGTTGATTCCTCGCCCACATGTAAGTCAACACAGCGATTACGATACCACCAATGACGACCGCCGCCACCACGCCCACAATTAACGGAAGTAGCTCCTTGGTTCCGGAACTCGTTTGACCTTCCTTCACCGCTCCGGAGTTGGGGTCGTTGTTGATTTTGGTGCTTTCAAGGTCGTTGGTGTCGTTGGGGTTTGTTTCGTAATCGATGACAGCAGGTGGGTTATTGGGGAGGGTGGAGTTAGATGAAGAAATGATGTCGGGATTCTCGTAGTCAGGAGATGAGGTGGATTTATCTTCGTCGTATTCGTCGGTGTCGTTAGTGAGAGGATCCGTTGTGTCGATGTCGGTTGGATCGAATGCTGCTGTAGTATCTGGTAGATCTGTGGTGAGGTCTGTTTCAGGTTCTTCCGTAGCTGTAGCTGGTTTGGTTGGTAAAGATGATGTGGGTTGTGTTGTGGGTGATGGTGATGGTGACGTTTTTTCTTTGGTTGTTGTTGCATCTTCAACGGTGGATTTCGTGAGGGGTTCTGTTGTTTCTGGAACTGTAGTTGTTATTGTGGTTGTTGGTGTTGTGGTTGTGGTTGTTGTTTTCGTAGTGGTTGTTGTGGTAGTTGTCGTTGAGGTAGACGTCGTTTTCGGGGTAGGTGTGGTTTTCGCTGTTGTTGTAGTTGGCTTCGCTGTGGTTGGTTTCGTTGTTCTGGTTGTGGTTGGTGGTTTTGTCGGTTTAGTCGTTTTGACTGTGGTGGGTTTTTGGGTGGTGGTGGTGGAGGATGTGGTAGTGTCTGACGTTTTAGGCGTAGCCCTGGTTGTTTTGGTAACCCTGGTAATGGTGGATTTCTGTGTAGTAGGGGCTGTTTTTCTTGGCGCTTTGGTGCTCTTTGTCACAGTGGTTGTTGTGCTCAGGATTGGCGCATTAGCTGGTCTTTGAGTTGTCACTTTAGGTGGAGGTGTTTCTCTGCTCACTGCAGATGATTAAAAATAAGTATAGCATAAGTAATATAAAGTTGTCGTCGGAAATAGATGGATACAGTTATGGTTAAAGTCCACCATACTCTGATGGGTACCTAACCCACGTTAGGGAAAATAATGGCGGCTGGGCATAATACCGACCACACTATCTCTTCATATGCCGAGGTCACAGAAACAAGTGAACTCTATTTCACTTGCCCCATAGACCGTCAGGTTTGAAAGGGAAACTTTTAGGCACACAAGGGAAATTGGGAAATGGGGTTATATATAATTTTAGGAGGGGGGGAGGGTGTCCCACCCTAAGTTACCGCACCGGATGTCACCCCCACCTAGCGACGCCACTGCGGACTACCTCTAGACCCTCAATCTCCAGCTACCAGCCATGAAAGTGTTGGGAACAAAAAAAACACGATTAACAGTACCTTCTGTACAGTTCATCACGTCAATATCATCCAATGCAATGTCGCTGGTCCATCCGTAGATCGTTACTTGAAAAACAAGCTGAAAAAAAATATATAGACAGGGACTGTATATTTGTTTTATATTTAATTTTCGGCTTGATTTTAATTTAACTTGATGAAATAGAAAACTTTATCAGAGAATATAAGGCTAATATAACTTCTAATGCAATAGTTAATATTGTGTCATTTCAATTTATTATTTTTTTTAAGGACAGTATTTTGGCTATTTTCTTCCACGATCCCCCGATGGTATGAAGGTTAAGAATACAGTAAAGGTCAGAATTAGGTTCAATCGGAGTAAAAGCCAGCAATGGTGCTTTTGTTGTGATAAAGTAAAACAAAACACTAAAATTTTGAAATGTATCATCTTTTCAATTCGCAGTAGCTTTATTTGCCAAAAAGATTTTAAAAATGGATTAAAAATTTAAGTTCCACACGCCAGTATATATAGTTTTATAAACAATACTAGACTAACACTTAGATTTACAATTCTTACACTTATCTTTGGCCTTGTTACAAGTTACCTGTTATCACCTATATTCTAGAAATCTAAAAAAAAGTACCTGAAACGCCTGCGTCTGTGTAGGGATGGGCACGACCGCCTGGATCCAGTTGTCACCTTGGTTACCTTCCACGCGGAACAAAGAAAACTGATTGGTCAGTTTTTTGCTGGAAGCTGATTCTGGCATCGCGAATACCTCGAGCTGACCCATGCCTAAAGAAATAGATCGGGGATGGGTCAATATTCAATAGAGAAAAAAATGTTGTGTCTGTTTTTTTCCTTAATTGTCAATAGACATGCCCAGAGAAGTAAGATTATCAGATGGGTATCAATGTATGTTAATCCCTCTCTCAAACTTCGTCGAAATAGTCAAAAGGATGCTAGAAATAAAGTTTAGTACTAATTTAATTTACAGTAGCTGTCGAAAGAAATCCAGATTTAGTAGCCTCATCGCCTGAACTGCTCCACTCACGTTTGATAATACAAGCTTTTACTTAGTTTACTATATCCTCATCTGGGTTTGTGGCAAATCTTCTAACTCAGTTTTGAGTCACTTCTGATAGAACATTTTGTCTTCAATGACAATGCAAGAATATCTATTTTTCAAATTAAAATTGATAATAAACTATAAAAAGTAAAGTTTCCATTTCAAACCTGACGGTCTATGGGGCAAGTGTAGTAGAGTGCACTTGTTTCTGTGACCTCGGTAGGGCCTATATGAAGAGATAGTGTGGTCAGCACTATGCCCAGCCGCCTTTACTCTCCCTAATTTTTGAATTAGGTACCCATCAGAGTTGGGTGGACTCAGGGACGGTCTACTGACTTGAACCCGGATTCGAACTCGAGACTTACGGGTTAGCAGTCCAGCTCTCTACCGCTAGACCACTCCGTCCCATAATAAACTATAACTTGGTGATATATTCAGGTAAAGCCTTACCATCAGGACCATCATGTCCTTGCATATGATAGAAAAACACGAGACACATGTCTATCTCTCTGCCTTGTTTGATCTTTGGTGACATCAGCCTCGCCTTATCTCCCTTCTGTTGTGGTGTTGATGACTCGGTGTAGATGTAGTACCCTAAACATCAGACACACAGTATTGCTAAACATATTTGTATGACATATTATAGATTTTTTATATAAAATATCTATAAATCAAAATAATATTTGGCTTGCTTTTACTTTCTTACGTAGGCAAACTAAAATAACTCTCTATTTTCTCTAAACATGTATGTGGCGGTCTGGCTAAATTGACAGCATAATGGACAATTTAAAAACAAAACGTTGCGAGTCCGAAACACAAGCAGTCATATTTTTTTTAGTTTCTTTACTAAACTATTTTAGTGTTTTAAAAAGACAATAAGCATATTGACTGAGGTGTGACATCTTTTAGATTATGTTTTAGCTTTAGTTGACCGTGTGTAACACTGGGGAGGGGGAGGAGAAGGAAGATAAAAACCGTCAAAACAAGCGTGACGTAATTTATGAATGACCCAGAAACCCACAGTTATCCAAGGATAACGGGTGGTCTAGTATCTACTTAAATGGGAAGTTAATGACATATCATTTCTACAATAGGTCAGCCGCGTAAATGTGGGGAAAAAAACAAAAATAACAATAATAGGAATCGTTAAAGTAGCTAAAAACTTCCGCTATTATCAAGCAGAAACTCTATCTCTCATCAGTGACAAACCCTACCGTTGGCCGTGTTTGTGGTGTGGTCAACCATTGGTCCTGTATCCCCGGTCACCGTTTCACCACTGTTTCTTATCCAATCAAAATCGTCCGTGGTATCATCGCTCCACCCACACAAGCTCTTCTCAAAGTCACATCCCAGTTCATCGCTTGCTGAAATAGATAAATTGGAATGAATTAGAACTGAATTAATTATAATTAATTATAATTGCATTAATTACAATTAATTATAACTAATTACAATTAATTTGAATTAATTTGAATTGATTTGAATTACTAGACTACTGTAAACATAATTTCATCACAAGGTGAATAATGGTCTGATTTAATAAGTCAGTAAGTCAGATGGCTGATTACATCTCTAGCCTCAAACTAACTAGATAACAAACCTGCTAAAGGCATACTCTACTTCACCTGTCCATTAAACGAGTTGTGAACTGTACTAGACTTTACTATACTTTACTATTTTAGCATTAATGCTTTAACCCTATTCTGATGACTTATTATATCAAGGCATAGTGACAGTTAAAACTAGATTAAGGTTACCAGTGAAATTTAGGGGTTATAATTCTTCGTCTTTTTAAAATTGAATATTGGAGTGAATACCCTTCTAAACAATCAAGTATTAAGTGTCAACATGTTATTCGTCTTATTGTCCGTTGACTCTGATTTCAGCCTGCTTCTTTCGGGATTTGCTTCCATAGCCTGTGTCTATGTACATCCAAGAACAGTATGAAATGCGGCAGTTGTTTTTCTCTGCTTGAAATGATGCTCTCGAGCCTCATCAGCCAGTTGACCTAACTCATTTTGTTTGTTAGCTGTCAGGCATTTTGTTGCCCAACCATACCGTTAGAAGATATAAGTACACATATCTAACAACAATATCTTACGTTTGCATTCCGGTGGTGCCATATCCCAGAGCCTGCCGTCACAGTAGACCCACTCGGGACCGTGACGCACCAGGCCCTCGCCACAGGTGAACTTGACGACAGCCTCGTCCATTGATGTCTCGTAGTTGATGCCAGGTTCCTCGGGGAACATGGGGCAACCAGGGGCTGAGAATCAGAAGAAATTAGGGTTATAGAACAGAGATTAAAGGAACCAATAATGATATAGAACAGTGGCGTAGGCAGGGGGGTCAGACCCCCCCCCCCCCCTTAGACCCTTGGTAGATACATAAAGGTTGAGCGGGGGGTGCAAAATCGAAAGTCTGAGGGGGGGGGGTGCAAATGAAAAGATTGAGGGTGGGTGCAAATCAAAAGTTTGAGGGGGGGGTGCGAAACAAAAGTTGAGGGGGGGTGCAAATCAAAAGTTTGTCCTCGGGGGCCGGGGAGGGACGCTACGCCTCTGATATTTACATTTATATTGCAGGAATAAATTTGAACCCCCCCCCCCATGAGACGATCCTGGTTACGCTACTGAAATAGAACATGGATTAATGGAAGCAGTAATGATATAGAACAGAGATTAATGGAAGCAGTAATGATATAGAACAGAGATTAATGGAAGCAGTAATGATATAGAACATGGATTAATGGAAGCAGTAATGATATAGAACAGAGATTAATGGAAGCAGTAATGATATAGAACAGGGATTAAGGGAACCAGTAATGATATAGAACAGGGATTAATCGAACCAGTAATAATATAGAACAAAGGTTAATGGAACCAGTAATGATGTAGAACAGACGTTAATGGAACCAGTAATGATATAGAACAGAGGTTAATGGAAGCAGTAATAGAAAAAAAAGAAGATGGCGCTGAACCCAGATTGTATCGCAGAAATGGCGCTAATCTAGACGTTTCGAGGAAAAAGAAAACAGATGAGGCTCAAGAAGATGTGGAGGCGCACGGCGGGGGAGGCAGCTAACAGAGGCAGGACTGTCATGGGGGACTGCCAGGAAAATTACCGGAGACTGAAAAAAGTTGAGGATGATTGTTGGTGCGGCCCCATGTATCTTGGGCACAAAAAGAAAAAGATAATGACGAGAACAGAGATTATATCAACCTTTTGCTCGACCATCTCAATGCAATGGTGATACATTTCTACAAATAAGAAAAATTAAGATTTTGCTCAACGTTCAAGGAACATTTAATCTTTTCCCTTACGTACAAAAAGACATATATTGCGGATGAAGTAAAGCTTACGTGCTACAAAGACTGTGGCATTCAGGTGGAGATTGTGTGATGAGGACTATGCCAAGCCCTATTAGTTTCCTTAACGTGAGCTAGGCACCCTCCATATCGGGATAGACTCAAAGACTTCTTACGGACTAGGGTATACAGACTCGAATTTTTCGGGGTAGTGGTCGTGCGATCTACCTTTCGACCACGCCCTTCCAAGGAGCCACTAAAACGCAAGTGGCTATGTTAAAACTACAACACAGGGTCTAAAATTAAAATTACAGAAAACACAATTATAGTTACTTTTAAAAAAAAAAATGCATTATTACATTTTTTTAAAAGAACTGTACGTGTATTTCTAAAAGTAAAAAAAAATTAAATAAAAAAATATTAACTTCTACTATGAATCAGAAGACCTTTTTAAATCAATATTCTGAATTAAAATTTAATTTTTAAATCACCCGCTTTTTAATACAATAAAAATAAATATAAAAAAGCAATTATATAAATGACGACATGATGACGTATGTTATAACGTCATTCTGTTGATCTCAAGAGTTTCTGTATTTGATACTTCTGGTGCAAACCAATCAGTCCCTACCCTCTTCAAATCTATTTGTCGAAGTATCTTTCCCATTTGCCAAAGCATAAGCACCTAACACAACGACAACACTTTCTTTCAACGCGGGTCGGCTAATCTTTGTGGTTAAGTGGTCGTTTGATTACTGCATTGACTTGCTCCAGTGAGTCACATGGTACATTGACGCCTGACACGGTTGAATGATTTTCTAGCAGTAAAACCACAGGTGGTGTAAACACATAGGTAATCGGACTAAATTTAAGTGGATTCGTTGTCGCCCTTTTTTAAAAAGAAGGTGTGTATGTGAGTTATTGCCCTTTAAAGATTTAAGAGTAGTAATAATGTCCCTTTAAACATGCTTTAGCCAGTAATTTTTACCTTAAAGTGAAATTTTTTATTCTATTTTTTATTTTCCTTTAAGTTGTGTCTATGTGTGTGTGTGTGTGTGTGTGTGTGTATGTTATTATTTTGTAAACTTTATTTAAGTACGAGTTAATTCCTTGAAAAATCTATCTTTGTGTTCTTGCTATTTCCATTTAAATTATATTACTTTCGTACTAATTTCCCTTGCAAACTAACCATAACTGCATGTTACTTCCTTGTAAAATATGTCCATGTGTTCTTTTAAATTTCCTTTAAAGTATATTTTCTGTGTACTTATTTCCCTTTAAATTTTTTTTTACTTGCGTACTTATTTCCCTTTAAGTTCTGTTTATGTACTTCGCTATTTCTCTATAAATTTTCTGTTTACTTGTTGTTTCCCCTAATGAGATGGGCATTGCCAATACTCGCTACAACGCAATAGCAATAACTTAAAACGTTTTGGCTATGGGTAAAATTCCGACACAGTGATTGATCCACGAATAGGGAAGTTCTTAAAACTAATGATATTTATAGTGCTTTAGTTATTGTTATTTTTAAGTGCAGTACACCGTTACTGCACCTCTGGACACAAAAAAATAATTAAAATATCCCCAACACCATTAAAAAGCTATCATTACAACAGAAAAATAAAAGTAATTGCTATAAATTAGCAATATCTACACAACCACTGCAATTAAGTTCGCATAAATAACAAGACATCAGTTAAACGCTTTGTCACTAAAAAGATCTCAGCCTTTCAGTAATACGTATTTTTACCACCCTTTTTATTCCAGGCGTATGTAACTTTGAGCGAACGTAATGTAAGTAATCATACAAACACAGCTAAAGAATAAACGAACGGGGTTTAAAACGGAAAGTTCCTGACACCTGTAAAAGGAATTTTCTTTTCAAGGTATTACGTTCGTGACAGGGGTTATTATGACATTACTAATTAGATTTTAATTACCCTTTGAAATTTAATGAATAGTGTAATAGTTTGACGTCTGTTGGCATTTAAACGGACATTTATTTTTTGGGGTTTTAAATCTAGGAAAGTGCGGTAAGTGTCACGAAGTCCGGTGGGTAACGGCAGACGGAGAATGAGTGGGGTGGGGGGGGGGGGGGTGGGTGGGGGTTGTTAAGGGGGGGGGGGTAGGCTTATAGCTGTCAGCAATCGGATTAATTTTAAATGATCAATTTGTGTTTTTGATGTTAGTTTCATTAATCCAGGCAATATCCCTAACTCGGATCCTAGTTAGATTTTGAACGTATTCCTTAATGCAAAAAATGATGCATTATTAATATAACCCCCCAAAAAAATTAGAAATTTCATAGCCCTAAAATTTAAATTTACTCACAACGTTTCCTATATTCCACAAACAAACAACGATCTCAAAAATTCCTTTACAATCCTTAACATTCACTCACGTTTCCTATATTACACTGACAATGATCTCTAAGATTACTTTACAAACCCTAACATTCAGACTCAGTGACGTAGCGAGGTCGGGTGTCACCCGGTGCGGCACTTAATGGTGTCATCCCCCCCCCCCCCCACAGATGCGTAGCGACCCCTTCCCGGGGACAAACTTTCACATTTTCGATTTGCACCCCCCCCCTCAAGTTTTTCTCTCTATATTTTGCTATTTTTTGCCTTGGTGTCACCCCCCTAAATGGTGTCACCCGGTGCGGTCCACACCCCCCGGCCCCCCCCCCCTCGCTACGCCTCTGTTCAGACTCTAGATTCCCTTACGTAAATCTAAAACACATCAGAACTGGGTGGACCCAGGGGCGTCTTACAGACCCGACCCCGGGATCTGAGCTAGAGACGTGCATCATCCAAAGACTTATTTAGAAACTTACGTAATCTTTTTATCTAGCTCTGAGTTTATGCTGAAACCCATCTTCTACACCTAGCATCAGTGGCGTAGGCAGGGGGGGGTTAGGGGGGGTCATAACCCCCCCCCCATAGACCCCTCGGTATATATAAAAAGTATGAGGGGGGGGTGCAAATCGAAAGTTTGAGGGGGGGGGGGTGCAAATCGAAAGTTTGAGGGGGGGGGTGCAAATCGAAAGTTTGAGGGGGGGGGGGTGCAAATCGAAAGTTTGAGGGGGGGTGCTAATCGAAAGTTTGTCCCCGGGTAAAAATTGGAACCCCCCCCTTGAGACGATCCTGGCTACGCCACTGCCTAGCATTATAATTCACAGAATTTTTTAAAACTCGAATACACTTCAATTTTCTATTCTACTCCCTTATTACTGCCTCTTTAGCTATTTCACCTCATACATTAAAATTTAATGGACAAGATAATTCAAGTTTTATAGCGTACCACGTATACATTAAACACCATAATAAAAAATCAATATATTCAAAAATATCGCTCAACGTTTTTTTTTGTCACGACATTTTTGCTTAAAAAATATTGTTTTTTTTTGCTGCATACAATTTTCTCTAACGGTGCATTAACCCAACACTTACTCTTCGATAGATTGTTAACGTGTATCTTAACTTCATTTATAACTCAATCTTCTGCGTGCTATGCCAGACTTGACATTAGTCGAAGCGTGAAGAGATTTAATCTCTGGAAACATAATATCTTTATCTCCAGTCTTATACCAGACACTATTCTAAGTAGGCTGGCATTTTTCCATTTATGGCTTTTACACTCTCGTAATGTAATGTCTTTTAACTCCAGCCCCATACTAGTCAACAATCTATATAGCCTGGTATTTTCCATTTATGGCTTTTTAAGTCTCATAACATAATATCCTTAACTCGTATTCAAGGATTAGACAATAATCAATAGACACCATGGCATTTTTCCATTTATGGCTTTCAAAGACTTGTAACGTTATATCCTTAACTCTAACCCAAGCTTTAGACAACAATCTATACTACTTGGCATTTTTCCATGCGTGTCTGTAATTGCTGATATAAGTTTCCAACACAATAATATATCTACGTGTAGACAGTTAATATATAATATTTGCATACTTTAAGGCATTCGATATGTTTGAAAGGGAACCTACTCTATAAGTCTATAGAGGGGGGCTTGGTATTTGAAATAACTCCTATTTTATAGATATTTAATTTAATTATTTATTAACTTTCTAATAAGGTTTACTAGCTTTCTTCATATCAGTTAGTTGTTTGTTAATTGCAGGGTTGAGATTTTAGTTATATATCGTGGCTAAAACGTAATGTGTCCTTTTCTTCGTATGCATGAAAGGGTCAATATTTATCAACAGGCACATAGTATTATTTATAAGTATGTTTATGTATGTGCAGGTTAAATTATGACATTTCAAGAAATAAATAAATTAACTTCATTTAAATAATTAGTTTTACATGAATATCACACCAAATACATCATAGCTGCTTTAGTAAATAAATTGAGACCCACTGATATAGAAAAACAAATATAAATATAAAATGTAGAAGTAAATAGCTTAAAAATGCAGCGTATATGTATAGGCAGGCATATAAATCCCTTACAATGCACTTTGCGTACACCCCCCCTCTCCACACCCCCTCTCTGCCACACGTAAACCCAATACCCAATCACTTGCTAATCGATTTGCTAATACCTACACCGATCGGCCTGACAAAGGGCCTAAATAAATAGGATCCCATTCAGTGATAGTGAAAGCAAGGAACGAATACCCTACCGAGTTTCGCCAGTCTTGAAAAGAGAGTGCTGTCCCCTTTATTGTGGGCCTGTGTAAACGAGGGAATTTTTAGCTCTATTTAATAGAGACTTCGTAGGCTTAAACTTTAACACCTAGCGTAAATATCAATAGATTTAAAGGTGTTTTACAGGTAGGCACCTAGACACTATTAGATTTTACATATGTTAAAAGGAGTGAGGTTCTGTTTATTTTTGCTTATGACATTTAAGTGCAAGAAGGATTTAATTTCAAGTATGAGATTCAAGAATTTTACTATTTAATGCTTGTTCAACTGAGGAGTTAAAGGAATATTATCGAACTTGATGTGAATATATGATTTTCATCAATGATTAACGATTCGATGAATGTTTTGTTCAATGAAAAAGTGTTTTATTATAGGTAAGTGAACAATATTTTAAAAAATTGGTAGATAAAAATACAGCTTAGTGTAAATGATATGTAACTAGCTACCAAGATAGATAAGTATAGAGAAAATACTATCTACATTATTATCTAGGTAGGTGAGAACAGAGAGTAAGTGATATCTAAGTATTCACAAAGATAGATAAGTAAAGACTATGAACTCGATCGATAGTTGACTTTGTTTAGTCTAATGTTATTGTGCACGAGTTTTTTTTAGTGTCTCCGATAAGAGCTGCATAGTTGTATTGCTGATCTTAATAGAGTAAAATTTACTGTACTAACATGACGCTCCGTGGAGCAGGTGAAGTAGAGTTCACCTGTTTCTTTGAGCGGGGCGCATGGATAGTGTGGTCACACAAAGCCCGGACGCTTTTAATTTTTCAAACAAGCGTTAGGTACCCATTAGAACTGGGTGGACTCAGGGACATTCTAGTGACTTAGACCCGGATTAGAACTAGGGTTCGCAGTATAGCGCTCTACCTCTAGGCCAAGCCGTCCCTTAATCTTAATATATTGTACCTATTTTACAAGCTTGTATTTAACTTACTGTCTCTGTCTGTCTGTCGTCAGTCCAGATCGAAACGCCCGAGCGAAATAACAGGCACTTCTAACTGACAGATACGGTTCAAAGTTGGCACGTGGGCCAAGACATGAAGACAATGCAATTTGACATTAAAGTTGACTTAATTGGATGGCTAACTGATTTTTTTATGAATTGATTAAAATTGTGACCAAATTAGTCCGCAGTCTTACCCAACTATTCCGCACAATTATACGCGCGTTATCACTTTCCTAAATATTAGTAAAGGTATCCAATAGATACTTAAGTGACCCTCGCTTTTCTTTATACTTATTTAAATAGTAGGGTATAACTTATTTTCTACTTTTTAGTACATTATTACATAAAAGATTGTTATTAAAACTATTTTTATGAATTTTTTTAGTATACAGTATCGTGAGTTTGGTTGTTACGTGTAAAGTATCTGTATTCCTAAAGAATAATACACGTGATTTGGCCGCTTTAACGAAAAAGTTTAAAATTTAATGTATTGAATCATTACAGATAGAAACAAGCGACGTCTACAAACATGGTTGGGCGGGTATGTTTAACTATCTACCTCATATGGGTTGTCACAGCCGTTTGGGCTGCCAACCCGGTGGTTAACCCCTTCACCCAACCCTACACCGTGGCCGAGGATCCTCTAGCGGAAAAACAGCTGGTTCAAATCTCGGCAACGGCTGATGCAGGGGAGACGATCGTGTCGTGTAGGGTCAAGTCAGCCAATCCCGGGGGTCCTTTCTCTGTGAAGGAGGTCAACACGGGCGAGTTCTGGGTGGTTCGCGACACCACGGCGGCTCTAAGCTACGCCACGACCAATTTTTATTCCCTTCAGGTGAGTTGTTTCTGATGTTATTATGGTCAGTCGCGCTAACTTCTAAACCCCTACACGTGATTCATTTATAACGGTCAGTTAAAACAACTTCTATACCGTAAGGTGAGTTGTTTCTGATGTTATTATGGTCAGTCGCGCTAACTTCTAAACCCCTACACGTGATTCATTTATAACGGTCAGTTAAAACAACTTCTATACCGTAAGGTGAGTTGTTTCTGATGTTATTATGGTCAGTCGCGCTAACTTCTAAACCCCTACACGTGATTCATTCATAACGGTCAGTTAAAACAACTTCTATACCGTAAGGTGAGTTGTTTCTGATGGTCAGTAAATTCAACTTCTATACCTTCAAGTAAGTCGTTTCTGATGGTCAGTAAATTCAACTTCTATACCTTCAAGTAAGTCGTTTCTGATGGTCAGTAAATTCAACTTCTATACCTTCAAGTAAGTCGTTTCTGATGGTCAGTAAATTCAACTTCTATACCTTCAAGTAAGTCGTTTCTGATGGTCAGTAAATTCAACTTCTATACCTTCAAGTAAGTCGTTTCTGATGGTCAGTAAATTCAACTTCTATACCTTCAAGTAAGTCGTTTCTGATGGTCAGTAAATTCAACTTCTATACCTTCAAGTAAGTCGTTTCTGATGGTCAGTAAATTCAACTTCTATACCTTCAAGTGAGTCGTTTATAGTAGCAAGACAAACCTCTATTGTTTGTTTGTGGTAAAACACTGGAGCCATTTTTAACCTTAAGCCGATTGGGTTCCGTTTTGTGGAGACAGAAGACCCAGCATGTATTTCAGCTTCAGCACAAATTCGGATAAATATGTCAAAAACTATTTTTTTTATTAGACTCATTTAAGAGTGTAGATATATTAAAGAACCGACGAGATAACATCAAATGCATTTTGTCATATACAAATCTTGTGTGGGTGTACATGTATTTTAATGTTGCAGATTGACTGCAGAGATTCCAAGAACCAAAACAGTGCCGCCGTGGACCTGTTTGTTTACGTCACCCCCAACACGCCCCCCACCATCACCAGCTACCCCACAGCCACGGCCACGCCCGTCGACGTCAACACTTTCAACTACGCCACCGACACTGTGTATCAAGTGCTGGCCACGGACGCTGAGGGAGACACACTGACGTACTCACTGCTGTCACAACAGCCAAACTCCGGCCTCTTCAGCATCAATAGTAAGTTTTCATTTCTCGGGGTAACTCAGTGATTACCCGTACACTTATACAAGCTTATTACAGTAAGTCTTTCTCTCACGGGGTAACTCACTGATTACCCGTACACTTATACGAGCTTATTACAGTAAGTTTTCATGTCAAGTTAACTCAGTGATTACCCGTACACTTATACGAGCTTATGGGACTGTTAGTCTCGAGTTCGAATCCGGGTACAAGTCTTTAGAATGTCCCTGAGTTCACCCAACTCTGATGGGTACCTAACTCGCGATAGGGAAAGCTAAGGCGGCGGGGCGTAGTGCTGACCACACTATCTCTTCATATGTTGAGGTCAGAGTTTCTTCCAGTGATCTCTTTGGGGAGGCTCTGCGCCCCCCCCCCCCCCCCGAAGAAAGCCTACCGCCCCCCCATACGACATGGAATTTATATAGAAAACATATACTTTTACCAGTGTTGCGCCCCCCGGAAAATGTTTACCCCCCCCCCCCGAAAATATAAAGTGCCCCCCCCCCCCGGGCAAAAAAGTCTGGAAGAAACACTGGTTGAGGTCACACAAACAGGTAAACTCTACTTCATTTATCCCATAGACCGACTTTATTAGTCTTCCTGTCACATGGTAGATCAGCGATTACCCGAACACTTTTAAGAGTTTATGTTGTATTTCCAATATCGATACTTTAATTATTAATCTAAATAAAGTTATTGTTTAGTTAATCCTAATCCTACCCAAAAATGATGCCGTCATTATAAAATCCCCGTTCTTACCGAATTCGAATATTATATGGGTAGGTTTTATCGACAAAAACTATATTTTATGGGTTTTTTTACTTTCTCGTATGTACGTAGTATAGACAAAGTCTTGTAATCGTGCAGAAAAAAAAATCGACATTTTTACAAAGTAACAAAGATTGAATGTCAAGTCGTGATAGAGGTTTACAACCCAAAAATTAAACGACAAATGTAACTAAAAGCTTAGTAAAGAACGGTTCGTGCAACTGTTGTCTCTTAAAAATGATAATTGCTTCATTTTCTCACTGTCGTTTAAAAAAAAATATGTTTATTTAAAATATGTTTACTGCACCCCATACTATTGTTAACACTTAAAATTCACTGCATATTTAATCTTCATCTAGTGCTGCATTTCTATATTAACAGTCTATAGATACAAACTATCTATTTCAAAGTCAGTTTGATTGATTTAATGTACACCTTTACCTTAAAGATCTTGTATTTCTTTGATAGAATGATATTTAACATACATTTTTCTTTTTTTGTTTGTTTAAAAATTGCATTTTTTTTTGTTCTTAAAACGTTTTCAGGCGCAACAGGCAAGATAACAGCGACAAGAGATTTACACACGATCACTACGTCATCTTACCTGCTTACCGTACAGGTCGCTGACACCAGGAACACCATATCCGACTTTCACGTGGCCGTGACCCTAGACAACCTCAACACCGCCCCCATGATCGTCAACCTCCCCACCACCATCACCATCCCGGAAGATGCCGGTGCTGGCACCACCCTCATCAAGCTTGACGTCGTTGACGCCACGGCTTACCCCGGGCCGGTCAAACCCACCTGTACCTTCTCCCCCTCCACTGAGAGCTACAAGTTCACCCTCAACACCGACAACACCATCACCCTCAGCGCCAGCAACCTCCTCAACTACGAAGTCCGCAACACCTACACCATCACCTGCTCGGCCACCGACGGCTACTACAGCACCGACGGTAAAGACGTTTTAACCGTCAACATCCAAAACGTCAACGAACCACCCGCCTTCAACAGCAACAACTACTACTGCACCATCGCTGAGGGTCAAATGCACGACCACTACTGCACTTTATCCCTAACCATCGTAGACCCAGAAGGCGACGCTCTAAAAAGCATCGGATTCCGTACTAGTGTTTCTCAAAGCGGAAACTTCTACTACGATCCCACTTTAAAAAGAGTTTACTTCAATGTTGATTACGATCTAGAAAATTCGTTTCCTGAGAACCCTACAGATCAAATTCTTGAAGCCGTTGACAGCGGCGGCGCCACAGTCACAAGTACAGTACACATCACAGTCACCGACACAAACGACAATACATGCGTGTTTGGTTCTAATTTAATCTACAAACAAATCGACCAATCCGCGGTCTTAGGTCAAATTGACGCCTTTACTTTCACCGATGCCGATTTGACATCGCCGAACAAAGATGCGAAAATCCAGATCGTGTCTTCGACTCCGACAAATTCCGGAGACTACATGACGGTTCTCCCGACGGGGGAGGTTTACTACACCGCCTACATCCCCTACGCCAACAGCGGAAGCTCCTACTCCATGCTGGTCAAATGCGTCGACGGCGGCACCCCCGCTCTCTCCGCCTTCGCCACGGTGATCATCTCCTACACCTACGTCCAGACCACCACCACCACAACCACAACCACAAGCACCGCATCCACCACAACCACAGCAGCGCCGGTGAAGACGATCTGGGACTACCCGTGGTTCGTCGCCGTGTTCTCTATCTTCATGGTGCTCATAGCAGCCCTTCTCATCATTGGTCTCGCTTATTTTATCTACAAATGCTGCTGTCAAAAACCGAGCCCCACGGAAATCGAACCGCGAAGGAAAATTTACCCTGACAGATACGATAATCGAGGTAATCATAGTAGCCCATTTGATGATGACGATTACTTGAGATCGTCGCGATCCGATTACCCGAGATCGTGGAACAGCAACGAAGTCGTAACGCCAAGACAGATACCAGCATTAGAATACAAGTAATCGATAACAATTTGAAACGATATGTTAAAAAATAAACCTACAGACATCAGAGATAAATATTTGCTCGCGAGTGCATTAAGACCCCCGTACTATATAGACTTACATTATGGGTTAATGAATTAACTTAATGTTGTATTTGTTGACCATAGTAAAAAAAAAGAAAATTTTTTGTTTCTAATTTTAGCAATTTAAAAAAAAACATAACTATATATAAATAAATGATAACAAGAATTAAATATACTAGCGGTGTTTAAAATAGTAGTAAATGGATCTGTATTTTGATATGTTGGCTTAAAATACACACTAGGTGTAAATGCTTGTTATTTGGTAGGATATAACAGACAAGGTTTAAATATTTGTTATTTGGTAGGTTGGCGGAAGAACACACTAGGTTTATGTACTTGTTATTTGGTAGGTTAGAATACACTAGGTTTAAATACGTGTTATTTGGTAGGTTGGCTTTAGAACACACTAGGTTTAAACACGTGTTATTTAGTAGGTTGGCTTAACAACACACTAGGTTTAAACACGTGTTATTTGGTAGGTTGGCTTAACAACACACGAGGTTTAAATACGTGTTATTTTGTCGGATGGTTTTAGAACACAGTAGGTTTACATACTTGTTATTTGGTAGGATGGCTTGAGAACACACTAGGTTTAAATAGTGTTATTTGGTAGGTTGGCTTTAGAACAAACATGTTTAAATACGTGTTATTTGGTAGGTTAGAACACACTAGGTTTAAATACGTGTTATTTGGTAGGTTAGAACACACTAGGTTTAAATACGTGTTATTTGGTAGGTTAGAACACACTAGGTTTAAATACATGATTTCTTTAAACCCAAGGATTTCTGGCATCCAAATAACCTACCTCTTTTATCTTAACCCCCACCCTCTTTAAAACACGATACACACCTCACGCACGCTTCTTATTCTCGTATATGGAATATGATGTCAGTATACTGTTAGGGGAATGTTTACAAGGTTTTTATATATTATTCTAATATAATTGTTTATCACTTGATATTAATTTGTTATTTTAAAAGTATTAATGTTATTATACACATATGTTTATTTTTAAGTGATATATAAAAATGTTGATATGTTTAGAAAATATTATACTTGTATACAATGGTATATGTTTTTTATTATGGGATATATATTTAATTTATAAATACATTAATTGTTAATGTTGACAAAGATTTTTTTTTAAATAAAAATCTGCTTTTCTCATTCGTTTGTTAGAATTTGATTTTAAAATTAATCAACAGCAATAAAATTATATTTCTGAACCCAGTGGTACTCAAGACTGATTTAGCTCTGGCTGCTAATGTTACGCTACATGAAACCATTCAATGGGTTACCACTGCTCTACGATAAGACGTCTTTTGTGTTTCTTTTACTAAGTTGGTGATATACATTAATTTATCTGTCCAATGCGTTTGAGACACGAAAGGGAACAGATGATGGTGATATTTAAGATGATTTCCCTTTATGTTTAGAATTACTTTCCTTCATGTTAAGGATTATTTCACTTTATTTTTAGGATTATTTCCCTTTGTGTTTAGAATTACTTTCCTTCATGTTAAGGATTATTTCCCTTTATGTTTAGGATTATTTCTCTTCATGATTAGGATCATATCCTAACCATATCATGTTTTGGATCATTTCCCTTTATGATCATTTCCCTTTATGAGTATGTGTTAAAGATTACTGCACTTAATGTTTGGGATTATTCCCCTTTATATTTATATTTATTTCCCTTTTTATTTAGGATTATTTCCCTTTTTGATAATTCTGTTTTTCTCTTTTATTTATTAGCAGTTTCAGCACCTGTTCCGTATTTCATGCGCTTATTTTTTTTTTACATTTCTATAAGAGCTGAACACAATACAGTCTTCAAAAGTGTAAAAGCTTACACGACTATGTCGTGACGTGAGACAATTATCCCAAGTGAAACCACGAGAGCTCAGTAACCCAAGTAACACCCCAAGAGTCCAGTAACCCATTACTTTAAGTACCTGCTTCCCGAACAACACGCTAAAGAGTCAAACTTTGGAAGGGGAGACAAGACACACCCAACGATATGAGTTATCTATATTAAAACTCGTGAATTAAAAACAAGATATTTTACTTTGTTATTGAAGGGCGGTGATGGGTTTATTTCATGGGTTGTGGGGGGGGGGGGGGGGGGGGGTTATTTCATGAGTTGTAAGATTGTGTGTGTGTGGGGGGTGTCATTGTTTATATATATATATATATATATATATATATATATATATATATATATATATATATATATATATATATATGCTTTTAGTTTTGGATTAGAAAGTGATAAACCATTATGTGAAAACATTACATCGGTAGTAAACATGTTTACAAAAGAAAATTTATATAATGAATATTAACTTTTAAATATTCAATTTTTTTTATTATTGAAAGGTGGTGGTGGGTTTATTTCATGGGTTGTGTGTGTGTGAGTGGGGGGGGGGGGGGGGTTATTTCATGGGTTGTAAGATTGTGTGTGTGTGGGGGGTGTCATTGTTTATATATATATATATATATATATATATATATATATATATATATATATATATATATATATATATATATATATATGTGTGCTTTTTGTTTTGGATTAGAAAGTGATAAACCATTATGTTAAACATTGCACTGGTAGTAACCATGTTTACAAAAGAAAAATAATAACATTGTATAAATTGAATATTAACTTTTAAATATTCAATTTTTTTCTAAATAAAAAAAGAAAACATTATTATTAAAATTAACAATCCAAGAAGAGTGACTTGGAAAATGAAACCAATTTTACAGATTAATTTAAACACATTTTTTTTTGCATGCAAGTTGTCCATACGGCTTTTAAAAAATAATAACCAATAATTAAAAAAAATTGCGAATTTTATAGAAGTAGTAAGTAAAAGAAAAACTTACCGACACACACGGGCGGGGGAAAACTCCATTTCCCGTTAATACAGTTGGCCATTGAATCGCCGTAAAGAGTAAAACTTTTATTACAAACGAATCGAACAGTGAGTTTTTTGTTTCTTAGTCTGACATTTCCATTTTCAATCTGAGGTTTCGCGCAGTCCTCTGTAAAAGTAAATTAGACTTTGATACAACTGGTGCATAATCCGTTTGATCAATTATTGTTTTTAAACACGAAATTGAAATTAAAATAGTTTTATTTTTATATATATATTATTGTTATACATGGGGGTGGGGGGGGGGTGGTCGGTGTCCTAAGCGATAGAAAGTCCCTGAGTGCTGACCACCCCTTTCCTTCCTATGCCGAGGTGAAGAAACATACGAACTCTACTTCATCTGCCCAATGGATCGCGAGCTCTTAAGAGTATTCTTTACTTCTTACTTTGTACATATTATATATAGGATCTTACAAAAGTAGCAAATTGAACACTTGCAATAAGAAACGGGAATCAGTTCGGGTTTTTTAAATGAATAGGAATATACTTTAGATATTAACATATTCTTAAAGTTACCACAAAAAATAATGAAATAGCTTTGGGAAATGTTTGTAATGAGATTTTAAGTCTGAAATTTTTGTGAACAGTTTTTAAAACTACTTTAAGATATGAGTATTATACAACGTATTTACAAAGCAAGATATTTGAACATTAGTTAGGTAACAATGGAGCAGATTAAAAAATACTATTTTTTACTAAAAGGTATGTTGAAAAAAATAAGAATATAAAAAGTCATCTACTTTTAAATGAAAAATGTAATGCCAACTAATTTTAAAAAAAAATTTAAAAAAAAATTCATTTAAATTAAAAATACTAAATTTCATGTTGAGCAATTTAAAAACTAAAAAAAAATAAAAAATTAAACTAAATTTCTCTGTTAATATAGGGATGCAATAATTAATTACGAACTAAAAATAAATTGCGAATGGAATTAAATAAAACAAACCTGCTAAAACCATGTGAAAACATAAAACATAGATGATTTTAATAAACGTGATCATGTTGACGAGATTCATGACATCCAAATAGAATTGATTAAATTCAAATATCCACAACTGCTTTTATAAGAAAATTGTATCCGCTTCTGAACGTTCCTTATGAAATCTATTTCAGTTGATTAAAATTAAGCTCAACAACTCTCTCTCATCCAACTTGTCTTTGTAAATCTAAAAAAATATTAAAATACGTATGTTAATGACATATCAGGTATATACTTAAAAAAATAAATGAAAACTGATAGATATTTGGGGAAAAAAAAAGTTCGATGTCAATTTTATTCCAAAAATGTATTTCCAATAATAATACCAGCACCATTAATGTATTTAAATTAACATAACGAGTTTAAAAAAAAGATAATATTAAACACTACTTCTATTTAAAACATTTGTAGTTATTAGAAGATACAAATATTTAAATATTTTCCAGCCACATCCACGTTAGATCCTGTATCTAACTTAGCGTTCTTAAGAAAACTCATATCAACAAAAAGGCGTCCTCGTTTACGTTCGCCTACACATAAATATGTTTTAAGTGGTTGAGGCTAAAGAAGGGGAACACACAACTTTAGAAAAACACTTTCACTTGAGATTTATGAGAAATTAAAATAGAAAACTTCAGATAAGAATCTTGATGACATTGCAGATACGGTTAAAAAAATGTTTTAATTTTATGTTTTACAAGTAGAATTATAATATTTTTGGAGTGCAATAATTAATTGTAAATATAATACATTTTTTTAAAGCTTTTATTGCAATTAAATAATTTACAAATTCTTTTAACTATCACAGGTTAAAAAAGTAATAATATTTTTTTTTTCTTTTTTTTCTTTTTTTTTTTTAATACAGTAATAATATTGATATTGACTTCACAGTAGAACAGAAGACAGTCATTGGAAACGTTACTGTTAATGTACATACATAATAAATTGAGTAAAGTAATAAACATTGGGCTTACATGATAAAATTATAATTATCCAAATTTTCAATAGAATATCACAGATAACCGCCAAACCTCTAAATCAAATCCAAACTTTTATCACTCAAAATCCATTGTGATCTATAGAATTAATCAATATCTATATATTGAAAAATAAATCCGATCCACTAAAACTATAAATTGAAGCAGTAGCCTCCCTTAGACGAATGACTAGTCGTACGAGTTACTTCCCTTACACATCTAGCACAGCCTTCCTGCTCCACAACTATCACCTGTAGTGGGCTGTTCTCATACGACCCCTGATAAACTGTCCACAAGATGGGGACACTTCACTTTCCACGTCATCGTATCCCCTCCGCACCCCCCGCATCATACACAAGGCCTCAAGCCTAATTACTGACCACTTGATTAGTGTTGGACAGGCTACGTACACATTCATTAGCGTTGGCTTCAGACGCAGGCAATTGTACTTTCTCAGGATCTAGAAACACGTTTAGCTATTTGACCTTTCATATATATCATGACACTTTAGAACATAGTTCTATACACAAAATTATACATATATATATATATTAAAATTCATTTATATTGGATATATATATATATATATATATATATATATATATATATATATATATATATATATATATATATATATATATATATATATATATATATATGTATATATACATATATATATATATATATATATATATATATATATATATATATATATAATAAATATATTTATAATATATATATTGGATATATATTGCATATATATACATATACATATTTATATTGGGTATATATATATATATATATATATATATATATATATATATATATATATATATATATATATATATATATATATGTATGTATATATATATATATATTTGTATTGGATATATATATATATATATATATATATATATATATATATATATATATATATATATATATATATATATATATATATATATATATATATATATATATGTATATATCCAATTTATACGTATACATTATATATATGTGTTAGAGAGTGAGAGAGAGTGAGAGTGAAAGTTATAAACTGATTAAGCAACCGTAAAAATATTGTCGAAAAATAACATGAAATAAACTTTAGGAAAAGGGCCATTTAATCTTATAAAATTTAATACAGAAGCACAGTTTCTTCATTACTACAATAGACTACATTTTTCACACCATTGACAGCATTAGAGGCTAGGGATATAATTTTCGCTTTTTTTTGTACGTGCGCGCAGTCGAATAAAATACGAGTGCCTTCTGTGAAATCCTTCTCTGAAGGTTAAACTTCTCTGTTGCAACATAAACCCCACTCAACACGACATTTCTCTTGTTTACGAAAACATTTTAACAGGAAAAGGATCATTAAACAACGTAACACCCGGATTTTTTATTTTTAAAATTATCATAAGTAGTCCTTAAAATAAAAAAATAACAACCGTAAAAAAAGCTAAGCTGATAATAAAGCACAAGACACAGACTGACACTGTATACAACTCCATAGTTTCCGTAATTTCCCAGACCGTTTAATGAACATACGGATATTGTCATCTAAAACCACACAATATCGGTCACAACAATAATATATTTAAAGAACATGATCAATAGCATGGTTTTAACTCAAGTGGCAACAATTATATAGAAGCACGAATGACTATTTCATTGGGCGCACCAGGAAGTGTTGATTTGTTGGTTTTTATTTCCTTGTTTTGTTATAATACAAGCGGTAGAAGTTAGTGGATAAAAGACGTCAGCGTGAAGTCGTTTGCCCAAACTGACCTTTACCCGAACAGGATGATCAACCAAATGGGCTTTGGTCGAATGTCGTTTGTCGATAGCCGTTTGCCGGAATGTACTTTTGCCAAATGGACGGACTTTTGCCGAATGCCGTTAGCCCGAATGCACCTTTGGCTGAATGGGATAAATACCCAAATGTTCTTTGGTCGAACGTCGTTTGTCCGAAGCCGTTTTTCCTAAATAGACAAATGTCCAAATGGACTTTGACCAAATGCGACAAATTTCACGATTGCCTCATGCCCGAACTATATTTCCTCGTAAAACTTTGTAACTGTTTCCATTGAAAACGTGCCATTAGGGTTTCTCTAAAACTAAATCATTCAGAAATATTATTTCCAAAATCTCAGCGTTGTTGCGTTGTCGTTAGCAGAGTTTAGGGGTGGGGGGAGTGGGTGGGGGGAGGGGAGAAGGGAGACAAGGAAGAACAAGAAGAAATAAAAATTATATAGAAAATATTTAGTTTCCCAAAAGATTCACGTCGCCCCCCCCCCCCAAGTTTAGAAAAATTACTGAAAGAAACGCTGGTCGCCTGCGGGATGTCATGTAAGCAAGTAGCGATCGTGGGTTGGGTTGTTTAAATGGGTTGGGGTTGTCACCGGAGGGGGTTGGGTGGGGTTCGGGGTTTCTTCCAGGGGGTCCCCCGCCACCCTCACCCCCAACCTCGGCCCAACGCCCCCACCCCCACCCCAACCCCCCCGAACGAAATGGAATTTGCATTGCAAACATATACTTTATTTAGTGTCCGCTCCTCCAAAAATATCAAGTGACCCCCCCCCCCCCACCGGCCGGAGGAAAAAGTCTGGAAGAAACACTGTGTGGGTTGTGGTTGTTAAATGGTCTATAGATTTGTTATATCTCTTTGAATAGATGAGATATACTGTTAATTCGAATGCATCCAATTTATGCCAGGAATTAAATTCAGCCGAGAGTATAAAACAGGCTCATGTAAAGTTTCAGTTAAAAACCATAACCATCCATACTGCATAAATGACCCTAAAAATCAACAAATGTATACTGCGTGGTGATTTAAGGAACGTTGTTTATTACGAAGTGATGTCCCTTGATTACGATCGACTAGAATATCACCCACTTGAGTTAATGACTTGTAGGCGACACCATGCTAGACGATATGTCTGCTTTAGCGTCAAGAAAAGGGTAACAATTCTTATTTACTAGGTTCTACCACTGAAGTTATAATATTTTATATATATATATATATATATATATATATATATATATATATATATATATATATATATATATATATATATACATATATAATATATATATATACATACATATATATACATATACATATATATATATATATATATATATATATATATGTATATATATATATATATATATATAATATATATATATATATATATATAAATGATTTAATCGTTTATATACGGATGTAGTTTGCTCGGTCAAGTAGAAAAAAATAAACAACTGTAAACAAAGGGTAAATGACTTGCCAAATTGAAGCATCCTAGCAGCAATGAATGACTGATAAACGGATAGCCTTGAATCAGTTAGTCGTGAAACTGTTGTTTTGTTTTATCAGAATCACGTTAAGCCGGCCAAGTACACACTT